ATTCCCTTGAACAAGCAATTTTCCTCACTGTTCTTCGGTGCAACCAGTCGAAAAATGAGCATCAGGTTCCCTTCCTGTAGAAGATAAAAAATGATGGGAGAAAGCACTTTGTAATGGTTGGAAGGTTCATCTTCCGTTCACTTACATAATGGGGCCAAATTATAGCACCCTTGTTTTCATTATATTAATAGTTCGGAAGATGATCTCCATTTCCTTGTCATCACTCAGGAGTGCCTTATTTTTAGAGGCAGGGTCGACAGCAGTTATATAACAAACATAGTTTGTAATCTCATATTTCCTTCTCATATGGTGGTACACGTTTGCAACATCAGAAGGAAGTAAGGCAAGTAAATTTGGCCCTGTGCTCGAACACAAGTCCTGTCGATTCTAAGTCTGACGAGTAAACGTTGTGTGAAGCAACGTGTTGTAAATTCCTTGCTCGCTGGAATTCATGATAAAGGCAAAAATTGATTGCGGAGGGAGTAGAACTTGGCACCTCCGGAATTTTAATTCGAAACCGGCCTCTAAAGCTCTTAGCCACTCCACACGTAATGGTGATAGCATGGTGCTTTGGTGTGACCATGCTAAAGTGTAGTAGGCAATCGACCATGTTGTCTGACGCGTGCGCCTTTTGGCTGAAGTTCGCTTTGACCCACCCGATAGTTGACTAAAAATCAGAACATGGTATATACTTAAAAAATAACTGTACTATATCACTTAATTCGAATAGTTTATCGATGGAATACTCTAGCGTTTTCATCTTCACTTGACAGGCAGAACTAGTGACGCACTGTTTGGTGTTAATATTTTTCTCTTTAGCAATCAAGAATAGTTTCTCCCATGATTTCTCTTCAGAACTGATATTCTGACTGAGAGATGCATTATTTCTGTTGCTGTTTTATAGTCCATCCTGAGCATAGCGGTCCTGGCAGAGTGGACGGCAGGCTTATGCTCCTCTAGCTCTTACTGTTACCCTTATGATATGCCGAAGTCTGCAGCCCTCAGGGTGCCAGATATATTAGGACTGAAATTGTAATGGCAGGAATCATGCAGCCCACGTTAACTCCCATTCCAGAAGGCACCTATTCTTAGATGGCTAAGGCTGAATAGTGTTTCTGCTGATTATTGCTGCCACGTACAAAGTGTGGCCTCTCAGGTCAGTTGGTTATCAATTTGTAGTCCCAATGAGCGCATTTTTTCGCCAAAGCAATTATATCATTCTAGCATGTTCGTGCAGTCAGGTCAGGCAGCTACCGCGCTTCATCTTGACAGAAATGAACTCGTGCTCGAAACCCGTTCCTTAATGCCAAACCTTCCTGATGTGACCTTTTCACATCGGCGAAATAACTAATGGTTTTACTGTTGTCGTAGGTGGCAGTTAGCATTGCTTTTCGTCCACATATCTGAAGTGTATTCGCAACATTGGGTGGCACAGACAGAAAACAGCGAAGTTTAAACAATTCGCTGTATGGTGAGAGACTATCCCTCAGCTTGCTGCAGCCTATTGTTAGCAACCACGTACGCAGTTGCCAGAACTCCATATGGTCATGCCCTGCTTAAGCGGTGTCTTGAATTGTCTTGAATCTTTAGGATTAATTAGACGTACAATAATGCAGTATAAAACAAAATTATCTTATTAATAACAGGTTAATGTCTTACCGTTTCTCTAAATCTTCTACCGCTAATTAGGTACCGTATTAACAATAATCTTCAGTAAGAAGGGATCGATCAAAGTGCAAAACATCAAACCCACCAAGGGTGATAGACTTTCTTTTTTCATACCGCATTAAAGCGGCGTTAGTGGCAGCGTCTTCTTGCTTCTGGTCGCCTAGGGGACCATTTAAGCAGGCCACGGCTGCATGGTATTTGAGCACCCGCAGTGCCTGGATGCAGAACGCATCACTAGGCAGGGCTGAACAAAGGCCTGTTCGGACACCTGCAAATATGCCACGATCCGTAGGCATATTTAGGATAATAGATCAGTCCAGTTCTTACACCTTAAGTGGATTGCTTCTTTCGCTTGTGAATAGTGGTAAATTTTGAATCGTCTCAAGAAGCCGTTCACAAATAAATAAACAAATAAATAAGGCAATAAACAATAAAAATCATCTGAATGGGACTAGTACTTATTTTGCATAGGCAGCGGTAATTCTGTGATATGTTTACTAACCTGAGACTTTCACGTTTATAGAGTTAAACCTAAATGAAGAAAAATGTTCTCATTTATAATTTCCTTTAGAAACATAATCTTGACTGCAACCAAAAAATAAAAAAGCTTAAGTCACATGGTTTGCAAGATTAATCATTGTTTTAGTAGTCTTTATCATTCGTGATGCTTCATTTCATAATCGCTTTTGTAACTTCATGCAGTGCATTGAGCATTTGGTGTCTTTGTTTCGAAGCGTGAACTACGTCTCAGGGGTGTTAAAAATTTGAAATCGTGATTTTGCCGATCAGATGTCAGCCCATATGCGAAAAAGGTGTTTATTGCGCCGTTTATTGCCTGCAGTTGCACATGAATTTAGTTGTTCTCTTTACCGCGAGCATCAGGTGAAGGTTTCAGCTGATGTTGTCTGTAGAGAGAGCGCAGATATTATATCCGCATTTTTTATAAACACATTTAAGTAGTTTGTACTGTATCATACAAACTGTGGAATGTGTTAGGAAATTAGTGCCCGCTTCCTTTAAATTCTTATTATCTGGCATAAAAATCTGGGTTCACTTATTATTTCGATAGAAGTCAGCATATTTTGCGCTCAAAGTCAGCCTTATTTTACTTCATAAATGCATTCGGTTTGAATGCCATTTCATTTAAATTTGTGGACCTGCTTCAGTGTAAAATCGCGATGTAGTATACATTGATTTTTACCTATTTTGCTAATTTATCGAGTTTACTGATTTTAATTTATTAACTGGAAACCTATGCTGTTTAAGTTTCGTCCTCAACAGTTCCTGATTCTTGTGCAACGCAGATATCAACAGTTTTAATGCAAACAATGAAAGAAATAACAACAAACAAGAAGTTCACGAACAATCAAAAAAAATAAAACAGCGTGAAACAAAGAAATTGTAAAACTTCAAACAAAAATAACCGATGATCGTTTATCTAAATAAAATACCGGTTAATGGTGCCTATAAATAGCACTGATATGAAAGAAAAATTATGCTATTAAATGGAATACAAGTAAAGTGGTACCAGATCAGATCACAATGACAAAAGCTGTCGTATACTTGATCACAGAACTTGAAAGACAACATCGATTAGGTTGTTACTGAGCTTCTCTTGCGAACAGTTATAAATTGGCCTTATTAAATGTGATATTTTTTGTAGCAAGTGTATATATACCTTATTACAGAGCGTACATTAGTGAAGACCTACGTTTCGGTTAATGTCTCACGGGCCTTCTTCAAGGTAGATATGGATAGGCCAATCAGTGAGACATGAACCGAAAGGTCGGTACTGGTAAATTATGAACAAATTGTTTAAGTTTTGTATAAATAAACCGCGTTTTTTTTGCTGTCTTCAGCATAACCACTAAAGCAACGAACCCGGTACTCTTTTAGTTTTCCTTTCAAATAAAGATTATTTTTAATCTTTTTGCCGTGTAAAAGAAAAATACAAATACGCTACTTAGTAATCAGTAGTAAATAAGTTTCTGGCAAAAGATTTAGAGATGGAGGTATGCAAATTGCGAGAGAAAAAAATATAATACCTTTCTTGAATAAGTATCTAACATCGAAAAAATGCTATAATTGTTGCCGTTGAGTTAATAATCAGAAGCTAAACTGTTTCTGTATTTGTAGCCTAACACGGATATCCATTAGTGAAATAGGTATGTGTTAGGCTAACTTGCAATGCGTTTGTCCAAAAAATAACTTGTGTTTTTGATTACGTGGTGAAATAATGAAAGCTAATTTTGAATATACTGCGCGAAATCTGGCTATGCATTAAATCCAATACTCAGCAGGCGATTCAAAACTGACCTGACTGCTAACCGAGAGAAAAATGCCGATATATTAATTGAGCATTCGCTGCTGCAGGCACTCAGGTAAATTCTCCATTCGAACAATTTTCAAACAGCGGTCGCAAAGCAGTGGCGGCGCATTGGGACCTCTGGGCATCGCTTCGCAGTAAGAAATCGTTTTCTCGAGGATGACTCCGCCATGATACGCTGGGCGTTCACGATTATGTAGAAAACTCGTTTTATCTGCATCTATCACCTAAACGACATACAACGCTTCGTCAAAAATGGATTATACTTGGTGTAGGTCAGTTTTAAAACAAGAGGAATACAATTCTGAAATGGAAATGATAAAAATTGGTCCCTCG